TGACCAAAGTAGCAAAGTCAGCAATCTCCTAATGTCCGAACATCCTTTTCAGCTTGGGTCTTAAGCCCGGTTCAAATTTAGAGCACTTGGATCGTCCATCCACTTCCAACTCAGAGTAGGGACAAAACCGGGCCAATTCCTCGAATTTAGCTGCATATTCCCCAACCGACATATTTCCCTGTTCTAACTTCAAGAACTCCATTTCCTTCTTCATTTTCAGATCAGCAAGAAAATATTTGTGAAGGAATTTCGCCTTGAATGTACTCCAGGAAATCAATTGGCGTCTAGTAAACTCTCACTAGTTCTCGGCCTCCGTTACTAGCATGTAAGTGGCATAAGCCAATTTCTGAACCTCCGAACAGTTCATGGCCCGGAAGATTCGCTCCATTCCCTGAATCCATTCAAGGGCAGCATCAAGAGCAAATCCCTCGTGGAACTGACTGGGGTTTCTTTTGCAAAACTCATCCAGACCTTGGTACTTCGCCGGTCCGGGTGGGACTAGGTTTTGTGAACTCGGACTTGGTGCAGGGTTCTGATTCAGAGTACGCAAGTTCTCGTTCATCTGTTGTAGTGCAGCCACCATCTGAACCAACAAATCATTCTGAACGTTATGACTCGTTCCTCTTCCAACCATGTCTTAACCTGAGCTCATTGATAGTTAGTACACAAACTTCACTCACACAAGTCAGGTTATCACATAGTCTCATAGCACATTACATGTCACTATACCAAAGCTACATGCTTTAAACATTCAATTCACACAATCTCAACTAGTCAAATCATAAACATGTTACAAAGAAGCAAGTAAGGTCATATCCTAGGCCGCAGAATTTACTATGCTCTAATATCACATTGTAAGGACCCAAATTCAACCCTTGAAAATTTTTCGTTTATTTAAAATCCTCCCTTACATACATTCATCATTTTACTTAGAAGTCCTAATGAATCATTCCTTGAAACTAACCTTTTAACCTATTATATTATCATACAATTCGTATTGCAGAAAAACATAATTCATTCAATTAGTAATTACCACATACAACCAGTTATGGGTTCCAAGAGTTATAACGTCCATAATTACATATCTCCAGTATTATCCTAATCAACTACAATGTCCAAGTACTGATAAAGACATTCAAGTTAATAAACACATAAGGTTCCTAAGGGAGCTTCCTCCTCAAATCCTTCATTTACCTACAATGGGATTATCATAAACAACACACAAAAACAAGGGAGTAAGTCATTAGTTAAAAAATTAACATTAAAAGATAATCCACATTTCAAATACGATTAAACATTAATATAATTTATAACCACAATTACGTAAATGTAAACATTCATATCTTCCTTCTTTCATTTCCACGTTATTCATATTCACCCTATAGAACATATATCCCATAATATATATCCTATAACATGTATATTACTTTCATTCTAACATCCTCATTTCTCATCTTTCATATTCACCCTATAGTATATATATCCCATAATATATATCTTATAGCATGCATGTTACTTTTATCCTTCACATCCTCATTTTCATCATACATATTCATCCTATAGTATATATATCTCATAATATATATCATATAGTATGCATATTACTTTTATATTTCACATCCTCATTTTCATCCTTCATTATTCACCCTTAATCGTATTCATCGAGTTCATTTCCCATACCACATCGGGCAAGTCGAGTTATTCCCCATACCACATCGGGCAGGTCGAGTTATTCCCCATACCACATCGGGCAGGTCGAGTTATTCCCCATACCACATCGAGAAAGTCGAGTTATTCCCCATACCACATCGGGCAGGTCGAGTTATTCCCCATACCACATCGGGCAGGTCGAGTTATTCCCCATATCACATCGGGAAGGTCGAGTTATTCCCCATACCACATCGGGAAGGTCGAGTTTATCCCCATACCACATCGGGCAGGTCGAGTTATTCCTCAAACCACATCAGGCAGGTCGAGTTATTCCCCATACCACATCGGGAAGGTCGAGTTTATCCCCATACCACATCGAGCACGTCGAGTTATTCCTCATACCACATCGGGCAGGTCGAGTTTTTATTCATTCCACATATCACCCAACCTCTCCAGTTAGGACATCCACAATAGGCCACTACCATTTCGGGTAGGGTAACAACAATAAATCACTCCTACCTTGGGAGAGTAACAATAATAACCCACTACCACTTCGGGTAGGGTAACAACACTATTCTTACCAATACATTACATCTTTCACATACCTCATTCACATCAGCGAGTATGATTTAGATACACTTATCCCTTACCTTGGTGAGTGTTGCGGATCGGTTCCGAGTAACTTTAAAAGTCTCCTCCGCGATTTCCTCCAACCTTAGGATCTTTCCTCATTTCCACCAATAACAACAATGTCAGCCATTTATTCAAAATAACACATAAACAACTCGTATTTCATCATCAAACATACAAGGGATTCACCTATTTCAAGATCTTCAAAACTACCTCAACACAAGTTTCCAAGCATCTAAACATACATGTTCATCTCATATATCAACATCAAAGCACAAACTCATCATCCACATTTAACATTTCATCCATTTCTCTTTTTACTCATTCTCATTTTTGGGGTTTTTGGGGTTTTCATGAATAACCCACAAAACCTTTCCATTCATCAAATACCAACTCTAAACCAAGAGTTTACAAGAGAAAAACAACATAAAACGAACCATAACTCTAAAGGATGAGTTTCCATGGTTTCTCATATTTTGAAAAAAGATTCAACATACCCAAAACAAGTTAGAGAGGAAGAAGAAGAGTTAGGAACAAGAGGTTTACCTCTTCTCAAGCTCTAAGATGATTCCTGAGACTCTTTGCTCTTGAAAAGCTCTCCTCTCTCTATTCTCTTCAAAGTTCTCACCCTAAAATGTGTTTGAGGTTTCTATTTTAAAGAGGAGTCATCGAGTTCTTGCTCAAACGAGCCCATTCTCGCTCAGGCGAGAAAATCTCGCCTTTTTAAAATTTCAGATATGAAGCTCTCGCTCAAGCGAGGGATTCTCACTCAAGCGAGAATCTCACAGTCTCAATAGGCTTCCTCTCGCTCAAGCGACCCATTCCTCGCTTGGGCGAGACTCCCAGAATTTCCAATTTCAAAACACTGATCCTCTCGCTTGGGCGAGGTCCTCTCGCTCAAGCGAGAATCTAGCAGTATGCCCCATTACTCAGGACTGTTATCTAATTTCAAGAAGGATAAATTTAGGGTGTTACAATAACTACTGGATGTTGGAAGTACTGGGAGTTATTAATATGAATTATGTTTTTCTGCCTAATGAATGTGTATATGAATATTGTACGCTAAGACTATCATGAATCTGAATAGGTGATTAGAGTAAATTCATTGGGACCATAATTATAAGTCATAAGTAAGAATACATATGTAAATGAGTTAAAATAAGGAGAAAATTTCAAGGGTACAATTTGGGTCCTTACAATATGATATCAGATCATAGTTAATCTTGCGGCCTAGGGTATGGCCTTACGTACTTCTTTGTGAACTTTATGTACTTGAATTACTTGGTCTATACAAATTGTTATGTGATTATGTGATCCTTGTCTAGTTAGAGTTTGGTTTACTGACACGTGAATGAATATAGGTACACATGGCTGGAAGAGGAAGACCAACGAGTCAGAATGTTCCGAATAATCTTTTGCCTCAGATGGTGGCTGCACTACAACATGTGAATGAGAACTTGCAGACTCTGAATCAGAACGTCGCGCCAAGTCCTAGTTCGCAACCCTTGGTCCCACCCGGACCGGCTAAGTACTAAGGTCTGGATGAATTCTGCAGGAGGAATCCTAGTCAGTTCCATGGCGGATTCGCTCCGGATGCTACCAATGAGTGGATCAAAGGATTGGAGAGGATCTTCAAGGCTATGAGTTGTGATGATGCTCAGAAGGTGGCATATGCTACCTATATGCTAGTAAACGAGGCTAAAAATTGGTGGGAGATAGTCCGAAGGTAGATGGAGACCGAGAGGCAAATCGTCACTTGGGAAGCCTTCAAGAGTAAATTTCTTCAGAAGTATTTTCTTGCAGACTTGAAGAGGAAGAAAGAGATGGAATTCTTGCATTCGCGCAACCCCTCTCAGATATAGTTTAAACTATTTAAGAATCATGGGTTGGTCCTACAAAAGTTATAATTTTTTTTTAGTAATTTTGATGAAGAAGTGATTTGATATTTTAAATTATGATAATTTGAATGAATTTTGTATAAGAGAAATCAATGCGAAAGCTTTACACAAGTATAATGTAGTGTATTTAAAAGATATATATATTTCAATCGTTCGTGGTATTTCTAGTTCATTTACATTAGTTACAGGCTAATACATTCTGAAAATGTGAGGCCCAAAGAATCCCAATTGAAGGGCATTGGTTCTATTAGATGGCAGTATCAAAATGTAAAACATGATGATATGAAGTTTACTTTTCTTGCTATGTATATGCCACTAAGATATGTAATTGCAAACATTTCCTCTTTGTAATCTTTTTTTATTTCTATTTTTTAGATTCCAACGCACATAAAAAAATCTCAGTTAGGATATTTAACATTTCAACAATTAGTTTGATTCAAAATCAATTTATTTTGTGATTTTAATCTTGTTATGAGAGAATATGCATGGTGTAGGTTTTGTTGAACCACATCATATAATTTGGACTTTAGTGCTAGAATGTCCACTTTTCTCACTTCTCTGGTTGAGTTATCACTTAAGAGGTGATGATAGAGTTGGAATCGACACTAATGCTTACATCCAAAGAAGTGGGATGATATAAATCTGCAGTAGCATATCAAAAGCTCTTCATGTTTTTGCATCGCCTAACCTATGGAAACGATTGTCAAGAATGGTTAGAGTGAAACACTTGCAACACTCAATTCTCATAGTCTCACATTGTTGAGTGTTAGTGGAATAGTGTAAGGATACGTTATAAAAGTGAAGTGAGTGACATAGAGAAACATATTTACTTGGACGGGACTAATGGGTGTTCAAGAAGGCTCGTGGATTAAGAAAGTGAACTTCATTGCACTTAGGAGAGGTGTTCTGCTAAGGTCTACCTAAGTGGTGGAGCTCATGTCATAATTTGTAACCATAAGACATGAATACTTGGACCATTGGCGAACCATTTCAATCTTTCGGAAACCGAATCCGCATTTATATTCAACTCCTCATCAATGTGATTTTTTAGCCACTTTATGAAACAACGATTATGTTCTTTGGAAATTTAATTTTCATTCTTATTTGGGTTATACTTCCTAAGCATCTCCCAGTGCCTTTCAACATATGGCTCAACCTCGTCGGCATTATGTAAAACATACAAGTGTGCTTTCTCCAATTAGGTTCTTGATATAGTCAATATTTCATTCCCAGTAATCCCTTTACCAAATGTTCTTTTTGTATACCGAGACTTTGGAATGCTTATGAAATCACCATCTTCAAGGTATCTGGTGCAAAAATAAAGAGCTTCTTCAACAATATATCGCTCAACAATACAACCTTATGGTCTTGATCAATTCTTCACATATCCTTTTAATGTCTTCATATAACGTTCAAAAGGGTACATCCATATCATGTAGGAAGGACCATATAGTTCTATCTATCGAACAAGATGAATGCTTGGATGAACCATTATGTCAAAAAAGAAGGTGTGAAATACATCTCAAGCTCACATAAAGTCAAAATAATTTGTCTTTGCAATGCAGGTAATTTCTCAAGGTCAATCACTTCGCTACAAATTGCTTTGAAGAAGAAGCATAACTTAGTTATGGTTTGTTGTAATTTTTTAGGTTGGGTAGACCGTATGCCAATAGGCAAGAAATGCTTCATAAGTACATGAAAATCATGAGACTTAAGACCTATTAACTTGAGGTCTTCCACTGATATGAGGTTTCGAATGTTGGAAGAGTACCCCTCTGGAACTTTAACACCATGGATAAATTTACAAAATTCTAATTTCTCCTTCCTCGACAAAGTATAATCTGCTGGAGGTAGAAATGTATGTTTCCCTTTATTATTAGCCCATATTCCTTTTTAAATTCTTGTACTAACCAAGTCAAATCTTGTATTCAAGCCATATTTGCACTTACCAGAAATATTGAGTAAATTTCCAAGGATACTTTCAAATACATTTTTTCAATATGCATAACATCGAGAACATGTCTAACATATAATGAGCTCCAATATAACAATTCAAAAAAGATTGACATTTTCTTACACCCACCATCTTCCTCTTTGTCTACATGGAAATTAAGAATCTAGAAGAGGAGGAAGAAATATGAATAATTGGATAGTAAAGTGTGATGATATTAAGATACACCATATGTAAAAGGGGTTGAGCTTCTTTAATGTAAAAGAAACAAAATTTAAAACATTCTCATATGATTTTCGAAATGTAAAACATGATGATATGAAGATTATGTTTCTTGATATACGCCACTAAGAAATGTAATTGCAAACATTTCGTCTTTGCAATATTTTTAAATTCGGTTTTTTAGATTCTAACGGATATAAAAGAAGATCTTAGTAAGGATGTTTAGCATTTCAACAATCAGCTTGATTCAAATTCATTTTATTTTGTCATGTTAATGTTTTTATGACAGGATATATGGATTATAAACAATAAAGCTTAGTTTAGAGATGATTCCTTTTCAAATTAGATGTAGTCATGTTGTTTGAGACCAACTTACCGGAGATAACATGAGTAATGCATGGTGTAGGTTCTGTTAAAGCATATCATTTAATTTGGACTTTTGTTCTAGAATCATTTTCCACACTTCTCACGTTGAGTTATCACTTAAGGGGTTATGATGGAGATGGAATCAACTATGATGTTTGCCTCCAAATAATAGGGATGATATATATATATATATATATGCACTAGTAGATCAAAAGCTTCATGTTTTTGCATGGCCTAACTTCTGGAGACTATTGTCAAGAATGGTTGTAGTGAAGCACTTGCAGCACCCATTTCTCATAGTCCCACATTGTAGAGTATTAGTGGAGTAGTGCAAGAATAAGTTATAAAAGTGATGGAGTGACATAGAGAAACATACTTACCTGGATAAGTTAGAACATTGTAGAGTATTAGTGGAGTAGTGCAAGAATGAGTGATCAAGAAGGCCCATGGCCTGGGAAGTGACCTCTATTGCACTTTGGAGGGGTGCTCTCCTAAGGTCTACCCAAGTGGTGGAGCCTATGTCATAATTTGTGGCAGTGGGGGTTTGTGTTCGCGCAACCCCTCGCAAATGTAGTTTAAATTATTTAACAATCATGGGTTGGTCCTAAATAAGTTTTAAATTTTGTTTAGTAATTATGATGCAAAAGTGATTTGGCATTTTAAATTGTGATAATTTGTATGAATTTTGTAGAAGAGAAATCATTGCGAAACCTTTACACAAATATACAGTAATGTATTTAATTTTGTAAAAATAAAGTTATCTCTATACTCTGTAATGTTCTATTTTTTATTTATTTTGTGGAAATAAAGTTATCTCTGTACTCCGTAAAAACTGTTAGTGGTATTTCTAGTTCATTGACATTAGTTACATGCTAACACATTATGAAAATGTAAGGCCCAAAGAATTCCAATTGAAGGGCATTGGCTATTTTTAAAGCAGTAGTTTGCCCTCCATAGGATGTTCAATGACAGCAATTCAAGATATCTCAAATTTCATCCTCTAGAACACACCTTCTATAGAATTTGGCTCATTATTAACCTTTCACACTTATTAGGCATCCATTTTCCTTCTTCTCAATATATATGCCAACTAGGCGACATGTTCCATTAGATGGCGGTACCCATATATAAAACATGATGATATGAAGGTTATTTTTCTTGATATATAAATGCCACTAAGAAATGTAATTGAAAATATTTCCTTTCTGTAATTTTTTGCATTTCTATTTTTTAGATTCCAACGTAACGCACATAAAAAGGATCTCAATAAGGATATTTAACATTTCAACAATCTGCTTGACTCAAATTCACTTTATTTTGTGATGTTAGTCTACTTATGAGAGAATATATATTGTGTAATTTTTGTTGAAGCACATCATGTAATTTGGAGTTTAGTATTAGAATATCCACTTTTCTCACTTTTCTAGTTGATTTATCACTTAAGATGTGATGATGGAGTTGGAATCGATATTTAATGTTTGCATCCAAATAAGTGGAACGACATAAATCTGCAGTAGCATATCAAAAGCTCTTCATGTTTTTGTATGGCCTAACCTCTGGAGACAATTGTCAAGAATGGTTGTTGTGAAGCACTTGCGGACCCATTTCTCATAGTCCCACATTGTTGAGTGTTAGTGGAATATTACAGGAATAGGTTATAAAAGTGAAGTGAGTGACATAGAGAAACATACTTACCTAGACTAGGTCAATGGATGATCAAGAAGGCTCATGGCCTAGGAAAGTGACCTCCATTGAACTTAAGATGGGTATTTTCCTAAGGTCTTCCCAAGTGGTGGTGCTTACGTCATAATTTGTGACTGTGGGGGTTTGTGTTCACGCGACCTCTCTCAATTATAGTTTAAACTATTTATCAATTATGGGCCTCTCATAAATTTTAATTCTAGTTTAAACTATTTTTGAAACATGGGGTGGTCCTATATAAGTTATGTAGGTTTTTTTATCGGTGATGTCCTATTTTCATTATACCTCATAAGAAATTATTATTTTTTGTTAACTTCGAAGATGTTTACAAGTTAAAAGATATATTTTTTCTACTCTTTGTGGTATTTTTACTTCTTTGACATTAGTTATATGCTTACACATTCTCAAAATGTGAGGCCGAAAAAATCCCAATTAAAGGGCATGTGTTGTTTTTAAAGCACTAGCATGCCCTCCATAGGATGTTCAATGACAACAACCGAAGCTATCTCAAATTTCATCCTCTAGAAAACACCTTCAATAGAATTTAGCTCATTAACACAAGTAATTCACCGACCCCTCTTAGTTGTCATCTAATACTTACAAATTGCATTATGATTTCAACATTAAGTGCATATTAGGTGTTGCATAATCTCTGTTATCTTGATGTGTTGAAAGAATCAAGAACCAAAATATCTTCAAGAAAACTATATGTTTAATCGATTAAGACTGCATAAAATTATTTAAATTTGTTTTGTTTTAATTGACTAAATTTTTATATATTCGGTTATATTTGCTTTGTGTTAATTGTTTAACTTGTCTTTTAATCGATTAAAACTAATAATGCCTTGGAATATATTTTGCATTTCGAATCGTGTTCAATTATAATCTTTAGCACTTATTCACCCCCTCTAGGTGATAATAGAGCCCTTGTTAACTAACATACTAGGTCGTTGCAATTAATGCATATGGATATTTTTGGTCCATCTAGGACTAAAAACTTTGCCAGCAAATACTATGCTCTTGTGATAGTTGATGATTTTTCAAGATTCATGTGAATATTATTTTTAGTAAATCAAAATTGAAAAATCTTTGAAAATATCTTCTATTAGAAGTTCTCATGGGAGATAATTTTATAATGCCTTGTTTGAAGAGTTCTATGATGAGAATGATATCTCACACAACTTTTCACAACCTAAAGCACCACAAAAAATGGTGTTATAGAAAGGAAAAATTGGTCATTAGAGGAAGTAACCAGAATAATGCTAAACTAAATCAATATGCCTAAATACTTTTAGGCTGATGCGATTAGCACTTCCAATTATGTCTCTAATCGAGTTTTAATAAGACCTATTTTAAAGGAAACCCCCTATGAAATTTATACGGGTAGAAAACCGTACATTGTTCACTTGCATGTATTTGGGTGTAAATATTTTGTTCTTAATAATGGAAAAGACAACCTCGATAAAATCGATGCTAAATCTGAAGAGAGAATCTTCTTATGTTATTCTCTTACAATAAAGCATATAGAATTTTCAATAAGATAACACTAACCATAGAATAATCCTGGCATGTTTTCTTTGATGAGACTAACCCGTCTTAGGAGGAAAAAGTTGTTATCACTGATGAAGATGGCAATAGGAATTTATCAAATACTTCAGAAAAAATGAAATTCCAATTGTTAAAAAACATGGTGACTTAGAGCAAGAAGAACTCAATAAATTTGAGAGAAAAAGTTTGGGAACTTATCTCCGACCCTTAAAATAGAAAAATTAAGTCATAAGATTAGAAATAAGGACAGGTTAGTAGTCCAAGGATATAACCATAGGAGGGAATATATTTCGATGGAACTTTCGCTCCCGTGGCTAAACTTGAAGCTATAAGATTACTTTTAGCATAATCATGTTCATTAAATTTTCAGTTACATCAAATGGGTATTACAAGTGCCTTCTTAAATGGTTATATACAAGAAGATGTATATGTTGAATAAACTCTAGGTTTTGAGGATTACAAACACACATCTCATGCATATAAACTAAATAAAAGACTTTTTGGTTTAAAACAAGATCCTAGAGCCTAGTATGATAGATTAAACTACTTTCTTGGTTTTCAAATTAAGTAAATCAGGTATGATAGATTAAACAACTTTCCATGTCTAAAAGGTTAAGGTCGATACTACACTTTTTTATAAGAAGGATTGATCAATATATGTTGATGACATTATTCTCTAATGTACTGATGAATCCTTTTGTAGTAAATTTGCAAGGATGATGCAAGATGAGTTTGAATGTGGATAATGGGAAAGTTAAGCTACTTTCATGGTTTTCAAATTAAGTAAACCAGGAATATCATCTTTGTGAATCAATCATAGTATTGCAAGGATCTATTGAAGATATTTGACATGGATGAATACAAAGCTATAACAACTTTAATGGGTTCAAACGCATATGTCGATACTGATAAGTATATAAAACCTGTTGATATCACTATGTATTGAGGTATGGTCATATCTATACTCTATCTTATTTCAAGTAGACCTGGTATTATGTTTAGTGTTTTCTTATGTGCTAGATATCAATCTAAACGTAATGAGTCAAATCTAGTTGTTGTTAAGAGAATCATGAAATATCTTAAAGGAACAACAAATGTAGGCTTATGGTATCCCAAGGAAAGTATATGTGATATTTATAGGATATTCTGATTCAGACTTTGTTGGATGTGATTTTGTAGGATATTCTGATTCGGACTTTGTTGGATGCAAAACTGAAAGAAAGAGTATTAGTTGAACATGTCACATACTAGGAAATGCTTAGGCAGAATACATTGCAACAGACAATTATTGTGCACAAATATTGTGTCTCAAACAACAATTATATGACTATAGACTAGACTTAGGTTGAATTCCATTAAATATGATAAAACTTGTGTCATTAGCTTAACAAAAAATCAGATAATACATTATATGATTAAACACATAGACATAAAACATCATTTGTTAACACACCGAATATTTAAAAAGGATGTATAATTAATGATTACCGATAGATATGACCAACTTGCATATATAGACAACAAATTTTTGTGAATTTAAACCCCTAACTTGTTCAATGCAATAATAAGCTGGAAATCAATTGTGGTGATGTAACTAGGGTACACCTAATTCTTGCAATGCAATAATAAGGAGGAAATTAATTGTCACAAGGTAACTTCGGTAGAACTACTTGTGACGATCTTCTATATATGGAAATGTTTTAGAACTGAATTCTTTATTGCAAATCAACACCCAACCTATTAAAAAAAATACGATTAAAAAATTAATCTATAAAGATTAAAAAAATATTTACTTTCAGTTTATAAACTATGAAATTATTATCTGTAAAGATTATAATCTGTTTATGTTTGGTATATTAGCTGAAAACTGAATATAAATCTGTTTTGTTTGGGTAAGGTACAAATATTCTTTTTTACATAGTAAATTACATAAAAGGTATTAGGTTATTTGTTTGTGTTATGATTATTTTGGTTGCTTTTTACATTATTTTTTAAATATTTTTTTTTAATATTTACCATCATATATATATATTTTTATTATAAACTTTTAAAATTTTAATATTGCATAATAAATTATAAAAACCAATATCAATATTAAAAATAATATACCACAAAAATAAATAGAAGTTATTAAAATAATTCAGAAAATAAATAATACCCTAATGTTAAGTTTTATACAAAAGTTTTGGGTTTAAGGGGTTTATACATAAGTCATGAAATTTTTTATAATGTATAACATAGTTTTATGGATAATTTTCTTTTCATATACGTGTACATATAAATGAAGATGTTATAAGGAGTTATGGGTCTTGTTGGTGATAGAGAGGGAAGAAAATTAAAGTTATGGAGTTTAATTGTGACGGTGTTAAGAATTATGGTGTTTGGTGGAAGAGTAAAAAGGAGGAGATGAATAAAATTATGATGGGGTAAAATGGGAAGTTGAAAAATGAAAAAAATAAGCTAATAAAAAATAAATCAACTTATGATTTTGGAGCTTCTACTTTTGACTTATTTTTCAAAAAACAAGTCAGATTTATAATTTCATTTGGTTGACAAACTTACTTAGTTAATATTTTCAACTTATTTTTTAAAAAAAAAAAAAGAATTTATATCAAACATGGCCTAAGAGTAAAAGTACTTTTGTAACCAAACTCAGGAAAAAAAAATGCTTTGACACTATAAGAATTTTTTGTATTATCATTATATCATCTACCATTTATATTTAATGACTCTTTTATATATAAGTAATACAAATAAACGATAATAATTAATTAATTAGGTGTAAAGGTTTAAATTGACAATGCATATATATATATATATAGGATGTATTCTTTATAAAAATATCTTTTAAAAATGAATTCTACATCTAATCCATGCAATGCAATAGTACAGTGAAAATTAAATATAAATGCACTTAATTGAAATTTGAATTGGGTCAGTTAATTTGCAATCAAAATAGATTGATTTTCTAATGTTCTTTGTTCTTCTTCTTGGAGAACTTTGTGAGATGCTATTTCTAAATTCTTTCTTCCTCTACGTCTCTATTATTATTTTTTCTTCTTTTTTCAAAAAAATTGTGTTGCTATTGTAGATGAATCTTATTTATTTGTCTCCTCCCATTCATGTTTCCTAGCCTCATTTATTTGGTTTAATAAGTAACGTTTTGGTTTTTATTTTTATTTTTGCTCTTTTTTTTTGCTAACCTTACATATTTATATTTACACACATGTATATTGTAATGAGATGTGTTTCTCTCTACTATTGGACTCTCTGAATGAGAGAGGAGAAATAAATATATAAATTTTAATTTATTTAATTAAAGAATGAAAAGTTGGAATTTTCAAATATGTTTTAAGTGGGGAGATCCATTTACTCAAATAGCAAGTTTAAAAACTTACTCCACATCTTAACCATTAATTTTAGAGAAATCCAATGGTTTGAATTAGTGAATAGATCTAAACCATTAGATTTCCTAGAATTGATGACTAAAATGTTGAGTAAATTTAAAAAAAAAAAAATTAAGGCCACTTTTCAGAATCTGTACCGATAATAACATCCAAAACAATGTTGTAACACTTATGCTTTCTTTGGTAGAGTAC